GACAAATGAAGAACATCTGAATTTAGACAGGTATGAAGTCATCTGTCACCATAAAAAGAAGTTTACCGTTATTGTAAGTAGTTGCAGTTTGAAAAATTAACTTGTCTAGAATTGAAGGGGGCCCTTTCAAAACTGAAACAACATGACAGTTAGAATTTAGCTTCCATGTGGTGTCACAGCATTACATAGAAAAAGACATAGACGTTAAATAGATCTTGGATCAGACAGTGCACACTGTTCAAAGTGGAGGACAATATAATGGCGAGTGGCCCTTTTATATTCAAGGACAAAACATAAAGGTACAGAATAAACCCCAGGAAACTATCCATCTTTGTCAACCGAGGGTGAGTTGGATCTTGATAGTTCTAATTTTGCTGTTTATGGTCTGTTAGGAATATAGTTCCTGTATCTTCCCGAACTCTTAACTTCTCTGTGTATTTTAATACTTGCACTAATGTTAAGGCAGGCAAGTGCAGAAATTTTGTAGAAGAGTTTTTTTTTACTGTAAGGCTTAGGAATTAAAATATTCTAAATTATCTAGGAGGACATAATTAATATACTATTTTCCTAGAGCAGTCTGCATCGTTGTGATTATTATATATGCCATTCAGATGTCTATAGGGAGAATTATATTATGCTGATAAACAGAGCAAATGGAAAGCTATACAGAGCGTTTAAATCCTTTTTATTTTAGAGAACGTAAGTGTCCCGTAATTTTTTAATGATATCTCCACTCTAAGTAAATCAAGCAAACCTAAATGAATAAAGATCTAGACAACACCAGTTCAATTAGTCCAAGTCCTACTGTTACGAAGATAAGGAAGCAATCTCCAGTTATATTGGCAGATAACTTGATAAAAAGTAATTGGTAATATTTGCTTATTATGTCTCCATTTCTAAATAATTTATTTGAGAGAGAATCATATATGGGGTCAGCCAGCTTCAAGGAAATCCAATGAAGCCACCATTCCAAATGGACTTGCCTTACAAAGATTGTCGGATTTTTGCAATTAGCAAAAAAGTATTTAGTTCTGCAGCTACCTTAATGGCGAAGGATTTTATCTGGTTTTTTGTTCTTGAGGACAAAAGCTTTTGAGCAATTTCCTGTAGGCTGAGTGTACTTTTGCTGAAGTTTCAAAGTGAAATTGGTTAGTATATTGAAAGTGATGGTGACTTCAGAGCTGTTCTTCAGCTGAGGCATCCTGCAGGTATCCACTTCCAGGAAGTTAGTCCCTGAGCTTGCTAGGAATTCTGTTTCCCTTGCCCACCTCCGTAAATAAGATAGAACTACCTGTTACTGGCTTCCTTGCTGTTGATGTTGAAGGGAGTTTCAAAAATTATATGTGATTATTTCTATAATCGGAATATTGCATTAATTGTACTGTGTTTGTGTATATAACATGTTAAATAGGTTAGAGTGTTTATTAGGGAGGAGAATGATAATTGAGCTGCAATTCATACACTGTGAAATTCATTCTTTTGAAATACACGGTTGTTGGTTTTTAGTGCATCTGCAAGATCATTCAGCTGTCGCCATATTCTAATTCTACAGTGTCATTACCTAGTAGAGCCCTCCTTTTTGGTTGCTGTAGCACCACTTACCGTGAAAGCTGTATCCAGCTTCCCATTTTCTGTTGCCTAGAATTTCTGTCAATCTATTAGTCTTCCACAATTAATAAAAAAAAATTGATCTTCAAAATAATAATCTCAAGATTTTGGAAGATTTTAGTGTGTTTTATAGTCAAACAATTGTCCATGTTCAATTTACATTTAGTGTTAAATTCAAGGGTAAAATGCATATGTATATATGTATATGCATATATGTATACACATACATAGGCATTTAGGTACGTAAATATAAGTATAAATGACATTTTATTGACCAGAATTTGTGATTGTGTAGACTCTCCCATTCTGTGACATTCGCATAATGCTGTTTTGTCCTTTCCTGGAATAATCTGAGACTCCACAGTCCCTTGTGACTCAAAATAGGTGTGTATGACCTAGTGGTCTTGTTTAAGTGTGATACTGTAGAAAAGCTTAAGAATAACAGATGATACAAAAGAAAGTTTTATCTGAGATATTCTATTTTGGCTGTAGTTGCCCAGAGAGAGTAATCTAGCAAGCTTCTGCTAAGCATTAGGTAGCTAGGTACTTAATATTTTGTGGTGTGGAGAAAAATGGCCATGACAGGTACTATTTAGTTTCTATCCAGACTAATTTTGGTCCTCAATTAGTGTCCACTTGAGCACCTACCATATGCCTGACAGGGTCATGCATATGTTATGGCAAACTAAGAATTAATTTTCAACTGACAATTGAAGGGGCTAGTCTCTTAACTGTAAGCATCAGCTTCTAACCTTACAGGTAGTATTTGAAAATGAGTTCTCCTGGAGTCTGATCATTGAGTCCTTCACAGCAGTTCCTAATCATCAAAACCAGCGGCAAAGGACAGGGTTAAATTTATTGAGTTTTTCTATCATGCAGCCACAAGTTGGTGTGACTGATACTTCTTTTGGTCAAACAGATTGATTGTCGACTTACTTGGTGACAAGATAATTTGTTTTGCCATTTAACAACCTAGCCATGATTTCCCATGTGATGCCCTAGCAGGTGATGCTTTTTCAGGGGGTGACCTGGTTCTGCAAGCACACTGAGAAGCCAGATAAACCACAGTTAAGAGCACCATATGTGATTTGGTGACTAAAGCTAAAGTGTGGCTACTAATAAAGAATGGGTCAGAAATGAAAGAGGGATTCTGGAAATTCCAGCAGAGAATGAGTAGAAGCAATCTCTATTGAAAGGCCAGCAGAGAAATAAAAATTGTTTTCATTGAGTAGTTATTTTTCAGTAGTATTGATCTTGTTGTAGATGTTTTTGACTTATTTCTGTAGTATCTGTGTTGAGTCTAAACTTTCTTTGTTGTCTAACCCATTGTTTTAGATAATTTGCCTGACCATTGGTTTGATCTAATCAACAGCACAGATGTACTAATTGATTGTTCATGAACTAACCGTGGGGTAGGGGGAAGCAAAGCTAGATCAGTTTGTGCGGTGCTCTTGTTCTGGTCCTGAAGAAGAGCTGTGAGGATAAATAGAGTTTGGATAAAGAAGAGGAAGGAGAGAATTTCAGGTGGGATGTGTAACAGTAGCCAAATTACAGAAGGGAAGAGGACAACTTATGTTTGGAAGGGCTGGATGGAGGGGCGAGAAGTAGGAGACAGGCAGGTAAGCTTGGATGGGGCAATTCCTGGACCAGAGTCTACCTTAGAGGCATGCCAGCAGTACCGTCTGTTCAGATCAATTTCAGGACCCGAGACAGGTCCTGGGTCTCTGCAGTTCACCCCGTCTACTGACTGATATGCTGAAAAGTACAGCAATTAATTTTAATACTTTAAATCTCTCACCCTCATAAAATAAATATCTCTTTGAGATTTGTCTGCTTGGTCGGAGTCATGTCCGTTCTAACCTGAATGAAGAATTGGAGAGCAGAGGCTGGTAATTGTGTGGGCCAAGAAAATATGAAAACGAAGGAAACGTGAAGGCATTACTGGGTAGGAGAAAGACCCAAAAAGAGGGCCCAGGGTATAGTGGGGAGAGGGTATAGCTCAGTGGTAGAGTGTATGCTTAGCATGCACGAGGTCCTGGGTTCAACCTCCAGTACCTCCATTAAAATAAATTAAAGCTAATTACCCACTCCCCCCTACCCCAGAAAAAACCCCAAAGGGGTCTGAGGGACCATGTGGAAGTAGCCTCCTTCACAGTAGTTCTGAGTCCTCGGTGGCAGCAAAGATCAGCAGTGTTGGTAATGGGAGGTTGCTTGGAGGGACACGTGGGTTGGTTATGAACATATGTTCTCCAGAGATTCATCTACTTCACTCCCCTGGAATGTAACATCCAGTTTCTTTATTTCTGGATTTGACCTTGCTTGATGCTACGGGAGGAGCTCAGGCTCTGTAGTCAGGTCTAGCTGTGACTACAGAGACAGCTCTGATGCTTACTCATTTTATGATAACGATCAGGCTCTGTTAACGTCTCTGAGCCTTAGTCTCTCTACCTCTGAGAACGGGACGGTGCCCTTCACCGGGAGGGTCCTGCACGAGTGACATGACATAGCTATGAGAAATGCCTGACACGTAGTCATTACTGTTTTCTTGTCCACTTCTCTGAGGCTGGCCTCTGTAGGCTTATTTCACCTTGGAGATTTGTTTTTCCTTTTCTGCTTCAGCTTGTTGAGAATTCATGGCCATTAAAAAGGATCATTTATAGGACTACAGCCCATAAAAAGTGCCTTTTAAACAATGTGCATTAGGAAATATCAATCACTTCATGTTCTCAGCAAGCAACCATCAGAAATATTGTATGTGACAAAGCGTTTTCCCCCTTTGCTAGGCAACGATCCATAATGTTTCCCATTTACATTCAGTACAAACAGACTTGCAACTTCTTAGTGCAATCACTGAATGCTGCAAACCAGGATTTATTATCTTTCTGTTCTCTGCACACTGGATTTTTTCTGCATTTTATAAATGTGTGTTACAGTATAACTTCAGTTGTAGTCCAGTTACAGCCTGTCCAGTTGGTGGATTTCCTTGTATTGCTGGTGCTTTATTTCATGAAATGATGTAACTTAACATGGCAGGAAGAGTGACCTGAGTCCTCTCCTCATGCCTGGAGAGCTGGCTGTAGCTGGCCTCATGTGGGATGTACACGTATTAAGTGAAGTACCCTCGCAGGATACATTCAGACTGAGGGAGCCTTGCCCTGAGCTCTCTGCCCACTGGAACAGAAAACTTGATGTGAACCACTTCTCTGGTCCCAGAAGCTAGAAGGAAATTAAAAAATGTAAATTAAATCATATCGTTCCCTTAATTAAATTCATCCAGTGGCTTTTCATTGTGTTTAGAATAATATCCAACTTCTTACAGTGGCGTACAAGACTCTACCTAATCCGTTGCTGCTAATTTTTCTGATTTCATCTCCATTCTCTTCTCCCCCTAGATCTATTACTCCGAGGTTCTTTCTGTTCTTGGAATGTGCCACATCCATCCCACCACAGCATGGCACTGCCTGTTCTCTCTCCCTGGAACAGTGCATCCAGGGGCACCTACTTCCTGTTACTCAGTCTCGGATCAACGTCATTTCCTCTGAAAGCTGCTTCTGACCCCCACGCTAACCTGCTCTCACCCCTTGAGTCTCTAGCACATCTTGTGTTTTATTTTCTTCACATTATTGAAGACTTTCTGAAATTATATTGCTAATGCCTTTAAATGGTTGATTATCGGTGTCCCTCCTGTAGAGTGTCAGTTTCGCGATCACGTGTGTGTTCTTTGCTGCTGCATCTTTACTGTCTGCTGTCTGTGCCTGGCCCACAGTCAGGTGCTCAGTACATGATTAAATATGTTGCGGAAACTAAGAACACAGAAAGGGAAAACAGACAGAAAGGAGGTTTGAATAGATCTCCGTTATATTCATGGATATGCGATGCATAGTCTTTCCTCAGTTATTAATGATTTGTGGATGGAAACAACCTACAAAAGATTTCAATTTTATTTTCCCTTTCCCTGAATAGGAACACTGCCCAGTGCTGCAAAATAAGATTGTGTTTGTCTACACCCAATTTCCAAGTAGTTTAAATCCTACTTTTGGTATTTATGCCATGTTGGTTTAGACCTGGCTCCTAGAAAATACCAGGCAAATGAATTAGAGACCCCAAATAGTTCATTACAGTTAAGACTTAACAGTTCTTTCTTAAGATAATTGGGATCCAATGATAATAATTTTCTAAATCTTTATGTTATGTCAACAAGAACTGTTTTTTGAAAGTGGGCTCTGAATCTGTTGTGTGAACCGGAGCTGCGTAAATTTAAGCAGTAAGTTCATCCTTGGTGAGGCGTAGCCTGCTTTAGTCACAATAGCTGCACTGAGCAGAGGTTGCTGGTATGATGATTAATTCTGCAAATAGGTGAAGGGAATTAAGATCCTTGTTTCCAGGCTGCTGTCACTAAACCTTGAGTGGTGGTGGTGAAGGGAGTCAGAAGATGGCTGCTGTCCCCAGTGGAAACACCACTGGAGTAGACCTCTCAATGCCTCAGCCTTCCTAGTCTGTTTCTTTACTCCTGACTCTGCAGAAATGACCTAACAGGCACTTTCATGATAAAAGCCTGTAAGAAAGATGAAAATTCCTTATTAGTAGAGAACAACAGAAAATCTCATTTGATGTTTACTCACTGTGGAAATGGAATTAAGTGTATTCGGTAGACTTCACTGAGAAAAAAGAGGATGGCATATGTATAAAGACTTGCCGTTTCTTTTTAGAGGGATTAATTTAACAAAAATGAGACTGCATTTTAAAAAACTGGCTTCTTAAAATAGATGAAGAATCTGGAATGAGCATTTGATGGAGCATAACATTTACTTGTGACTGATATATATGCATGTCACGATCTCCAGAATCCAAACTAAAATACAAAGGACAGTGAATTCCTCAGGGATGTTTTATTTCACATACCTACATGTTCTGAGTTTAATGTTACTGTATGAAGTAAACGTCAACTCCTTTTTTTTTTTTGTCTCTTTGAAATATCAGGATTTTAGTAATGCATTTTAACTTGAGATCAAGTGTTGTCATTTCAGTGTATTTAGGTCTGGTGACTCTGAAAGCTATTTGGGGATTAAATTTCAAATGTTATCCTGCATTGAGAGTTAACGGTGTTTAAGTTTCACTTGTATTCTATTGCTATTTTTTCACCACTGAACAATTGAGGTTTTCTAACCTACTCTCATTCCATTTCAGCAGGCTTTGTATTTCAGAACAACAGTTAAAAAAAGGGACTCACAGACTTAATTAAATTGAAAGATGCATTAATTTGATGCATTAGGGAAAAAGTAAAAGACCAGATATTCTATCTTTACTACCTGTAATTCATCTTTTTTTTTGTCCCCAAAGAATCAGTTTCCTGTACTTCCATTTTTAGTTTTATCAAGTGAATACTTAATATGAAACTATTTATAGATTACTCCCAAAGCCTTTTATTCTTAAAATGGGTTATTTAGGTTGGTTATTTGGATGACAGCTTTGATTCAGAGTATCAAAGGCCACAGTTGGTGGGGACAAATCAACATTTCTTTATTTCTTTACTTCGCATCCTGATGAAACATCTCACAAGTTAGATGCCCTTGTCCCAAGATGGAGCCACAGCAGGAAGATTTCAAATAATACCGTTAATTGCATGTAGTTGATGAATACATACTTGATGGGAAAAATTGTTTGAGCTGGTGCTTTTAGACTGCAAAGGCGTGAAAGAAAAGATTCGTTGAACCATTTGATTTGTAGATTTAGTCCATGGCTGGCATTGTGGGGAACAGTTCGTGCATGTATATTTCCTCACATCTCAGGAAGAGATACTCCTTAAGAAACAGACTTTATGTTGTGTTCAGCAGATCTCTTACATGAGTAACTCAAGTGGACTCTCGTACAGGGTTTATTTATTTTTTTCTAGGAAAAAAACAGCAGAATGTAAACATTGCCTTCTGCTGAGCGAGTGAGGTAGCAGGCACGTTTCACGCCCTTTGAAGTGATCCCAGCCCAGGGCTCAAATTTCAAAGAAAACTTCAATTTCAATTTATGGGAACTAAATCAAGAAAATGAATGGATTCCTGCTAAAAAGTGAAAATTCCGATAGAGCACAAATTATTTCAAAGTGTCCTCACTTCAGGACACAGTATATTCAGGGATTGTTGAGTCTTGGGCTTCTTCTTTGTAGCCCGTTCGGTCTTGCAAGTTCGAATACTAAAACTTTCTCTTACTCTTGGTGTCTGACTGATGGTCACGACAGGACCCTAGTCAGCATAGTGACCTTGATATCCATTCAGTGGTACAATCACTTTGAATATCTGTAATGGAGCAATCCCAGCATGCAGGAATTAATACATTGGTTCTCAGTTTACACTTAAGGAGAAACGAAGGATCTCATAAGTTCAGTCTAGTCCGTAGCCCCTTGCATGTAGGAATTTAATCTTGATCTTAAGTTCTGACTCGGTTTTCTTTTCCTTAAACTGCACCAGTTTCTCTAGAAGGCCAATATTACTTCTTTCTCCTCAGTGAGAAAGATAACAAAAGAACAGTTTTCTCTTAAGTCCTGCTCTGAAACTGATAAGGAGGATGCCCCGGGTCTCCCCCAGCAGTTCCTCACCCTGAGGTGGAAAAGTTGCAGATAATATGATTTACCTAATGATAAGTTCTTGGCTGTAACAGACACTACGGCTCATGGCATCTCTCATTGGGTGTAGTTCTCATAGGGCTTGGCAGCTATGTGGAGCCTGTTTCCTTTGGCAGTAGCTCTTCTGGGGCCTCTCAGACTGGTACTGTGTCCCCTTGACTATTGGCTGGCTTAGAGTTGCTCTCTCCACCCTACCCACTAGAAGGTTATTTATATTGGTGCCCCTTCTGAGGAGTCACTTTCCTTAAAAATGGTATCTTTCCATTCTTGATTTGTACTAGGGAACCATATCTCTATATCAAGGAAATAAGGTATCTGATTAGAAGAAATGGAAATTCCATTAAAATGGTATAAGAGTGTTTTATCATGAAGAGAGAGAGATATTTCAGAGAAACAAAGGTAGAGTGTACAACTGAACATCAAGAAAAATCAGCCCTGAGAGCAGGGATGCCAGCGAAGCCCAAGAAACTTTCCACCCTTACCCCTCCACTTTCACAGGTCTCTCGTCTCTTCGTTGCTACAGATGCAGCCTTGGTGGTCATCGGTGCACATCGTCTGAGTGTGGTTGCCCCAGCTTCTAAGCTTATGACAACATTTAGGTTTAGAGGCTATTTCCAGCTGCTTCCCAGTTTATATGTCTTAGTTTGAAATCCCAAGAAGGGAGAATTTGTCTCAGCCCATTGACCAGAGGTCTGAACCTTAGCTTTATCCAGTGTGGTCAGGGTTGGTAGAATGTGATAGAAACATGGTGTCAGGGTCCAACCCTATTGACTGAGGCTGCCAGCGGAGGGGCATTTTACCAAAAACAGAAATGTAGGCTAGACAGGCTTGCTGCTTGCAGTATGTACTCTAATTACAGTTAAGTGTTGTGATCCTTGATGCCTGTTGATTCACTTATTTCAAAGAAGGACATACATCTGGTGAATCTCCTTTGCCTTAGAGTGTGCCTACCTGGTCAAGGTTGCTAAGGTGTTCTCACCCTCCTGTCATTTCTCTTCAAGATGAAGAGATCTTGGCTGCAGCTCCGAATTTCTGTTTTGACATTCAATCCACAGGGTATGAGGATACTTCCAACTAAAGCCAGGGTGTCCCACAGTAAATACGCAAACAGACTTCTAATAAGCACCCAGCTTAGGTCTGGAAGAACTTCATAATGACAAAGCTTGATATCAGATTCCCTGTCTCAATATACCAGAGGTACACTTCCCATCTTGATAGCATACCAAAGGAAATGGTGTTCATTGCCTACCACTGCTGTAACAAAGTGCCACAAACTGGGTGGTTTAAAACATCGTAAATTTATTGTCTTAGGAGTCTGGATGCTAGAAGCCTGAAATCAAGGTGTTGGCAGGGTTGGTTTCTTGTGGAGGCACTGAGAGTGCTATGGAATGCTTTGTATTCCCACCCTCCCCCAATCATATATTGAAATCTCTATTTTGTTTGCTTTTCTTTTTCTTTTGTTCAGGGGGGAGGTAATTAGATTTATTGATTGATTTAAATGGAGGTACTGGGGATTGAACCCAGGACTTCATGCGTGCTAAGCACGCGCTCTCCCTCTGAGCCATGCCTCCCCGAGGTTCTGTTGCCTGCTTCCCGCCTAGCTTTGGCAGCTGCTGACAGCTGTTGGTGGGGTTGATTGTAGAAGCTTCACTCCAGTCTCTGCCTTTATCATCACTGGGCATGGATCTGTATCTCTCTTTGGACAGAGACACCAGTCATTGGATTAGGGCTTATCCCCATTCAGTGTGACCTCGGCTTAGCTTGATTACATCTGTAGACTCTATTTTCAAACAGAATCACATTCAGAGGTACTGAAGGTGAGGACTTGTGCATGTCTTTTTGGGAGACACAATCAACCCACAACTGAGATCCAGTTTCAAGGGCACAGGTGTTTCTCTCACAGTTTGCTGGGAGAGGCGGTGCACCCCAGGCCCCTGAGTAAGCTAAAACACAAGGCCTGGGGCGCTCTCATCCTGAGCCGTTTCTGTAGCTGTTGGATGAGCAGTTAAGGCAGCCACAACGCCCTGGCTGTCATAGGGCCACGTTCCCTGGGAGAGGGGAGAGACTGGCTTGTTTGCTGTTTGCTCTAAAAGTTGCTGCGCCCTGAGCCCTGGGTTCCACAAGTGTGGTGAGGCCTGCTGCCAGTGTGGCTGCCGTCTAGGATTTCACATCACCCTGTGGGAGCTGAGGACAGGGGGAATGGTGCTGCCCTGCTGGGGCTCCTGCTGGTCTGCTGTGCTGTGAGTTACAGACTGTCTTTCTCTGGTTCACTGTCTCATCGTCTACATTTTTTTCTTTTTTTTGTAAACTTTAAGTGGTTTCTCATTTCTTTTTTTTTTTTTTTAAATTGAGATGTAGTTGATTTACCTGGAGTTACAGCAAGCCAACCTGCACATGTGCTTAGTCATTTCCTTTGGAACCTTGCAACTTTTTGCCATCTTCTATAAGGCTCGAGTTCTTCCCTAATGCTGGGCTTCTTTTCTGCCATTCACTTCTTTTGCATTCTGAGCCTTTACATACACCATTTCTATACCATTTCTCCACATAGGATGCCCTCTCCTAGGGCTTCACACCTGTGCAGTCACGTGGGCTCCTGCACTTAGAAGGGCCCCACACTTGCTTTCCTCTTCCTGTCTTAAGTTCTTAACTTTTGAATAAGGGACTCTGTTCTTATTTCATACTGAGTCCCACAGATTATCTAGCTGGTCCTGCCTTCTCTTTGATCAGGTTATGGATTTTCTAGGCTTAGCTTAGAAATAATACTTGACTGCCTCTCCTCTTGCCACCACTCCCCCATTTCTTGCTCTTGCTCTGGTTGCTAGACAGATTTGCAGCTATCCTATGGAAATCATATTCATTGTAATTCTAAAGCCCTCAGTTGGCAAAA